ACACACACACACATACACACATACACACACATACACACACATACACACACATACACACACATACACACACATACACAAGCACAGAAACAAACACATAAACAAACACAGACACAAACAAATGCCAAGACAAATATAAACACACACATTTCTTTAAATACTAACACACACACACACACACACACACACACACACACACACACACACACACACACACACACACACACACACACACACTCTCTCTCTCTCTCTCTCTCTCTCTCTCTCTCTCTCAAACACCTTTATTCATATTATAAAGGCGGGCTCACAAAATACACTCATTCACATAAAAGCACACGTATACAAGAGACCTATTTTTAATTTCTTTATTTGTTTTTATCTTTTAAAAACGGAGGAGAAATGAAAAAAACAACCAACCTAACAATTGCATGAACCATTCCTCATAAGCCTTCTCGTGGAACTTCGCAGCTACTCTCAAGGTATGGAATTCACTAATTGCTGGTAAAGTACATTGTAATCGTGCTTCAAAACCTTGTAGGCGTTTCCTTCAAATCTGGATCGCTAATTATTCTATTAGCCGGTCTATTCCTGAGGGGCTGCCTAACAGATATGTAGGTTGCTATTTACGCTTTTAAAAACAAGTCTCTGAAACAAAGACAAAACGTTTGGAGCAGCAGCTGCCTCTGTTTCTGTCTCTTCAGAAAACGCCTCCCTTCTATTTCTACCTCACCTATTGTTTTTCTTGGTTCCTTCAGAAACACGAACGCATAAAACAAAAATGCTCCTACACTTGATACCGAGATCAGCATAACAACATTGTGGCGTGCCTAGAATTTCTCTGGCAGCAGCGCCAGGAAACAAAAGCTCTCAGGCGAGAGAGAAAAACATGAACATGATATGCATCAGAAAAATAGCCAAAATGATGAACCTTTTTCAGTTAGAAAAAGGATTGCGTCCTTTAAGCCCATGCACCGTTTGCACTTGAAACCTAATCATGACGTGATCCAGATATTTCGTGCTAATCCTTGATTTTTTTTACCCTGGACAACAGGTTTTCCCACAGCTGAGAAAAATCGGAAGCGACGACAGGAAAATGGCAAAAAATCTTTAATTAAGTCGTTCGTATCTGTTCTCAAGTCATGAATATTAGATCTAGATCTGTATGTTATATGACACCAAGACCGCTTTGCAGACAACTTGCAATCCTGTTTTTGGATGCTACCATTGTAGGCTCAATTCTCAAATGTCTAGAATTTTATCGTAAAAAAAATTTTATTTTTTATTTTATGCACAAATTGAACATGTTTGCAAAATATAATAAAACTGCTTTTCATTCAGATAACTGGCAATTCTGTTCTTGGATGCTACCAATGCAGAATCATTCCTCAAACGTCCAGAATTTTGCTACGACAGAAATCGAACATTCTGCAAAATAGGGCAAATGTCCAGCATAGCTGAGACCGGCCAGTGAGAAGTGTGGCCTGGCTTCCCACGTCGTCAGCGCTCTCCACAGTTTGCCAGGGGCTAGTGTCAGTCCGCAGATGCCCTTGTGTCGGAGTCTGGCCGGCCCTAATTGGTGCCTTAACAATGAACTAACAGACATTTTGACACATCTCTCTGAGAGGAGAATTCCTCATCTCTCTCGTCTTCCCCACCCTCCGAATACTTCGGGTGATGTCTTTATGTGACTGTGCCTCCGTGGTAAACCAAGAAATAGGAAGTTTTCATTATTCATTAAAAAAATTTTTAATACAAAGCAGGATATGATTAAGCTTTATAGTCTAGTCGTTAGGACATCGATTTGGTGTATCAACTTACACACACACACACACACACACACACACACACACCCACACGCACACACACACACACACACACACACACACACACACACACACACACACACACATACACACACACACACAATTAAGCACACTGTTTTGAGTTCATCTCTACAAAATAAACACAACTGTGATCATTTTTCCAATTGGCAAATAACATGAGAGGTAGAGAGACAGAGGGTTGGGTAGACTAAAATAACAAAGTTACAGGCAGGAAAGCGAGACCTATCAGTGGTGCCTTGTAACATTTCACAAGGCTATTAATGTCATCATCGCCAATGAATGGCCAGCATAGCAATATTATTTCTATAGACACCACCGCTAATAAGGGCCTTATGGTGCCTGTATTTCATCATAATGTTTATGGCATGTGTAACAAATATGTATTTAGGGAATGGAAGCGCCAGGTAGAAAAGGGTATAAATCAAAATATCAAACTTCGCAAATTTGGGTCACATGTAATTTAATGATTACTAAACATAGGAAGCACATTTTCAGTACCTTATCTTCAATAATAAAATGGGCTGAATCAAAATAATAAGTTTGATTTACGTAAATTTGGATATTTTCCAGTGTATTTTTTGCCTTTCTTAAGCGACATTACACGTAATGCTCTCTCATCAACTTTCCTTCTATCTACTTTTTGTGAAGCTTGAGACATGAATGAACAATCTTTTCGTGATCATAGAAAACATTCTTGGAAAGAAAGTTGACTGGACAGAGGACAAGGCATGGTAAAGTGAACAAGTTAGAATTCTACTTCAACAAGATGTCTGGAAACGTGAATAATATCCTAGATCTAGATCTAGATCTTCTAATTTGTTGCATCTCTAAAGATTTATTGCTCCATTCCAGTCGAGTGTAGATCAATGACTTTTAGTTGATGTTAATGCACCGATCATTCCTTTCACTTTCATCGAAAGGGGGTACAGCTAGTCATGTTATAATGTGAGCGCACGCGCTTGTGTGTCTCTGTGTGTGTATGTTTGTGTGTATGTGTGTGTGTGTGTATGTGCGTGTGTATGTGTGTATGTGTGTGTCCATGTGTGCTTGTGTTTTTCACTAGGAGAACATCAAACACAATTATAAATGTCCCTAATTGACACTTCACAGAGTGCTTTATTTTTTCGTTATGTGGGTATAAGAAGAGAATAATTTATTCTAACTCTTTTGGTGAGGCTGAAACTGGAACGATAACCCCGACAACATACTGACCCTATTATCTCCTTTGACGATCTGGTTCAAGTACTATTTATCAGTTTGTGGCACCTTTTAGGATCTGAGAAACGGGAAAACAGTGGGTGAGAAAATGGCGGAGTTAAAGGGGATTATTATGTTTTTCTATGTATATTGCTGATTATTTATTTTTGTTTTAAATTACTACGCCACTCATCGTTAAATGAAAGCAACCTGTATTTTTTCTTTTTCAATCTGGAAACCACGGAACTGGAAATAATATGCACTTTACAATCCAAGTTAGAGAGAGAAAGAAAGAAAGAAAGAAAGAGAGAGAGAGAGAGAGAGAGAGAGAGAGAGAGAGAGAGAGAGAGAGAGAGAGAGAGAGAGAGAGAGAGAGAGAGAGAGAGAGAGAGAGAGAGAGAGAGAAATAGAGACAGACAGACAGTGTGTAATGTGTACTATGATGGTGGTTTTATGCCACTGACAACTCTGTGAAGTTCTTCAAAAGACACGACCTCTGATTAATGCCCACTGTCGATTGAACTGTGCTATAAATACACAGAGAACCCACGACAACTACCTACAGAGTCTCGGTTCAAGAATGGCCGGTTTGAGATTCGATCGAGGTAATTTCGTATTTGCAGTCCTGGATTACACCAACTGACCTAGCGGCGACCCCTAAAGTATGTGAGCAAAGATATCCTCTGGAGAGACAAAGTCTTGTCGACCATAAGATGCAGAGAGGTAGAGCTGTTTGATAGCAGTTTGTCTGCACTTCACAATCGGCGAGAACACACCATGAGCGTAAATGTGAAGCATTTCTTCTCTGTTGAACCATGCTGAGCTGCTGTGACGTGGAACCTTTTTATCATTCTCAACCTAGTAAAGTATTTTTGTCAGTGCAGTGTTTGGAGAACTCCTGTTTCTTTTCGACCTTGTTATGACTTATTTTTAATGGGTGGTGAATATAAACAGAATATATCACAATAAATATGTTTATATTAATACAGATAACTACAAATTTTGAAAACCTGCAGACTGGGAAACCGAATTATATAAACGACATAAACTAATCTGATACCGGTAACAAACATAAGGCAGGCAAACAAACGTTAAGCAATCTCGACTATCAATTATAGTCTTGTACCCTACAGACATAAGCATTATTTTGTTGTCCTGTGCCTTGTTCACCAAGAATTATTGAATAACTCAGAACTCGGGTTCTTAATCCTTTTGCCCTGAATGACACACTGAAAATGCAGGACAAGGCAACTCTTAGAGTGCAGCGGTGCAAATGCTAAACGCGGTACTCGAGGGCTTGTCTGCTTGTTTTAATAATGTATTATTTTTATTCAGTTATCAAGTATCAAGTAGGTTTATTCATTGTTTAATTAAGGCCATTTGCCCACATCGTATTATATAGAAGACTCATAATTTGTTAAATGAAGTTTCCAAATGTAAAAGAACAGGTTGTGCTCATATCTCTTATCATGGGTCAAACATTGCATATTTCTGACATTGCGTCGACTCAGGCTGGAAGGAATTAACAATTTCCTTTGATGGACAGAAGTTAAATAACTGAAAATAAAGTGAAATTCATCTGTAATTTTATGAGAGTTACACCTCTCACGTGAGGGTGAATTTAATAATTTCCGCAGATAAAGATCGTTATATTTAATGGAAGGCTACGAGTTTTTATTGTACTGTTTTTAAAGGGACACAATCAATAAAATACAAAATAGGTTTAGGTTCTGAGGGTTGTTTGTTTGTTTGTGTGTTTTATTTGTTTGTTTGTTTGTTTATTTGTCGTGTTTCTTTGTTTCTTTGTTGTTTTTTTGTAATATAAACTCCGACCAGAATAGCCCTGCCTTTCTGTAAGTAATATGACATAAGTGTTGTTGAAACACTATCTTGACAGCACAAGAATGACTTAAAAGGAACATTATCAGACCCCCCGTAACATAATACAATAACTGAGCTTACCTTTTTGACATTTACGCCATTCCTTGTGATTCCGTGAAGTTTTTTTTCTGTTATTCGAGAGGCGGAGAGTAGCTCTAGCAAAAAGTAAGTTGATTATCTTTGTTTCGATTTGCTCAGGTCAGGTGTGATGATTATCCGCCCTCCTCTATCATCTGCGGGGAAAATCAGATACGAAAAAAGGAAGGTGAAAACAAGCAATAATTAGCAGGAAAGGGAAAAAAAAAACATAGCTTGTTATATCCATCTGTGACGGGAAAAACAAGTTTCTGTTGATTGACTTCGTCCACCACGTGGCAGCGATATAACAAGACTTTATCGCAAAAATAGTGCACTCTGTTACCCCTCGGTCAGTCAAGTCGTTTGTAGTTTCTTATCTTTTGAATGTTATCATTATCATCATCATCATCATCATCATCATCATCATCATCATCATCATCATCATCATCACCATCATCATCATCATCAGCATCAGCATCAGCATCATCATCATCATTATCCTTGTTTGGAAAGCAAAGTAGGACCATCATCATCATCTTCATCATTATCATCATCATCATCATCATCATCATCATCATCATCATCATTATCATTATCATAATCATCATTATCATCATCATCATCATCATCATCATCATCATCATCATCATCATCATCATCATTATAGCTATTATTGTTAGTGATATCATCATTATTATAATAATTATTATTGTCCCTACATCCCCCGCCCCTTTTTTTGCCCCCGTCCCCTCCGCACACAGTTTGTGCTTCTTTTTCAGGTCAAAATGACGGCAAAGTAAGGAATCCATTTAGCTGATGTTTCTTGTCATTAAAGGTGTTGCTATTAACGTAGAACGTCAGTGAGCACGTTGCGGTAAATGTTTTATGCGAGCAAACATGTTGTTATTTGCTATTTATCATTATATAACATGTTCATCTGTTTACTGCTCTAAAAAAGTGTGCTGTTTATTGTTCTTACAGCTGTTGCTGATTCTTCTTCTTGAAGATTTTGGTGTTTGACGTCAGTCATTATCTCGCTGTTACTTTTTAACGTCCATACATAAACATGTTGCGGGGAGCTCGCGTTGCCTAGAGGTTAAGATGTTCGCCTCTCATTCATAGGTCCCAGGTTGGAATCTGGGTAGGGACAGAAATTGTTTTTCTCTAAAATTGTCTCCTTTCACCTCCTTTCCTGCTCTCCAGTAATGTTGTGTCGTCTGTTTTCGTCTCTACTTTCTGCCCCCACCCCCTCACATCCTTTACCCCCTCCTCTGGGCTTCTGACTCTTTCTGCAGCCTTTCTACTGCTGCTCCTTGGCTGCTTACTGCTGTCTTTCAGCCACACCCCTGATCTTCTAGAAGGAAAGATCTACACCTAGACTTCTCGGACAAGGCCGTGCAAGTTGCGCACATTAAAGATCCCTTTGTGGTCTAAAATCGTTAAGAGTAGGCTTCGGCCGCCACAATGACAAAATACAAAATATCCTACAAAATGAAAATGTTTAGTGTGTCTCGCGCTCATATGACCTTATGCAGTTGTGAGTGCCGTAAAACTCTTACCAAAAAACAAACAAAATACAACCCCCCC